GACATTCTGAGGTAAATTTTGAATCGCTCAAGGATAAATTCGCAACTCCTTGATAACTCTCCTTCCTCTCGGCGCAATTTCAGGATTGGATGGACGTAATATTTTCTCTTTCTTCCCTTTTCAATAAGAGAGAGGGCAAAAATCATCCTCACTGCTTGACGAATCCATTTGGTATTTTTGCGTTTTTTCCCGCAAAGGTTTAAGAAATACGCAACGGACTCGGTGTGCAAGGTTTCTATGCGTGACGAATTTTTAAGCTGACGAACACGAAAATACGCATACGAATATTTCGTGCTCAGTGTGCAATGGCCTTTAGGCCATCAATGTGTACTTACATTTACGAGTCATTCAATCATGTTTAATTTGGACTTCTCTGTGCATGCTCTTTGAGGTGGTGACCATAGACCTCCATTATATGACAGACAGACAAGAACAGTTTGACCGAAAAATATCAAAATTGAAAATATTGTGGAAACAAAGACACCTACATCTTGGATGCCCTTGAGGTAAGATAAAACACACCAAAATTTAATTTCAAAGTGAACTATCACTTTAAATTTCAGTGGTATCTAAAATTTGGGGTTTCAACATTTATAAGGATACATGGATCAAAAACAATAACTATTTTATTAATTTATTACTTTGTTGTGGTAATTGAGATCTTGTGAATCGAAATTGAATCGAGACATCTAAATTGATACCATACTCAATATTTACTAACATTGGGATTCTAATTTGTATAATGCCAGTCACTTAGTCTTGTTTATAATTGTTCGTAGGACACAAATCAGAACAGAAGAACAGCTGCCTTACTTGGTCTTCCACACTTCTTTTCAGAGGATACTTCGGATATAACCAAGATGTGTGATGTAAGAAAATATATTTACACATTGTTGTTAACATACTAATGATACTGAATTCAGAGCAGTAGGGATGAAGAAAAATGTATTCTCTTTACTGTCATGATTTAGTTTTTGTGATTTTAACATTTCTTTGCATTCCAGAGTCAATAATAATTAATTAATTAATTAGCTTCATTTTAGTCTTTGTTTATAATAAATGATTGACCATACAGTGGCTTTTAGCCTAATTAGTGCTTCTCCAGTGGCTTGTTTTGACTGTCATCCCAGCCCTGTAGAGCATATATTGAAATGAAGTAAAATCATGATATGGCAATTGTCATACTTTTATTGGACCATTTCTATAATTTTATAGACCAAATCTATCACACGACTTTTAAATAAGGATTGATATTGTCCATTTGTTTTAGGTTCATGGTGAAACCCTGGATGTCATTATGAAGGGAATGCGTGTTGGTCTACTGATTGGACACGAAGGTGTCCTGAATGATGCATTTCCTCTTGATGTCTCCAATGTGGCTGTGGTGGTAGAAGAGACAATTGTTCTCCATAATCTCAGAGACATACCCACTGGCTTTGCTCTGTTAATGGGGACAATCTACTGCCTTAACCTTGAATATCCCTGTAGTATGAGGTACTCCTTCGAATTCCTGCAGAAAGTGATCATGAAGATTAAAACTGACCACTGTTCTGCCAATATACATGGACTTCGAAACAAACTGCTGAGATATAATTTATAGACTGGTCTCAAACCATATATCGGAGGTAACATGTTATGTTTGCAGTCTTTGGAGGACACTTGACACTTGAGTTATTTGACACTGTTCAAAATTGATATTACAGACTATTTCAAGTAAAACCCAAGTACTGCTGAAAATTAACAGAAGCATAAATGTTTAGATGTGTTTTTAAAGGAGAACTCTGGTCAATTTAAACATTGAGCTAATTTTTTTGTACATTTGGAGTGCTGTCAGTACAGACAAAAATGACAAAAATTGTTGTTGCCTACACAGTGTTATCCTCCTTTTAAAATTCGTACTCTGTTGACTTCAGTGGGACATGTCCTAAACCTGCTTTTAGCCTCTTGACAAGTTCACTGCCATGTGAGTAGTGTTATTAAGAGTGACCACGGTCAATCTGGCTGCAGTAGATGTGAAAGATATTAATATAAATGATGTTAATTCAGCCAGCGCACATACCTGTATTTACTTCCTGTTTTTGGTCGAAGTCCAAAGTAGTTGATTGTCGAGTTCGCACGTTATTGCTTGGATACCAATGATCATGCGCACAAACTCGACAATCGACTAATGTGGACTTCGACCGAAAACAGGAAGTAAATACAGGTATGTGCGCTGGCTGAATTAACATAATTTATATTAATATCTTTCACATCTACTCCAGTCAGATTGACCGTGGTCACTCTTAATAAAACCACTCACATGGCTGTGCACTCGTAATGACAAATAAAGGATGTTAAGAGACTAAAAGCAGGTTTAGAACGTGTCCTATTGAAGTCAACAGGGTACGAATTTTAAAAAGAGGATAACACTGTGTAGGCGACAACAATTTTTGTCGTTTTTGTCTGTACTGACAGCACTCCAAATGTACAAAAAAATAGCTCAATGTTAAAATTGACTGGAGTTCTTTAATACAAAGTTATTAATTTTGAGAATTTTGAAGCTTTTGCTGAGGGGACACTTATTGTTACTTTGCATTCTGTTCTTTAAATTGTCATCAACACAGTTGCTCTGCAAGGGTAGAAACAACATGGAATTTTTTAGCTAAGTTTAGCTGATTTTAAAAGTGTTTTAAACTGTAAAACAACTGCTGGTGTTGTCATTTACAACTGTAAAGACTATTTTGTTCCTATAAGAAAGTATGTGAAAGATGAAATGGTTGTCAAATAGGTAACATAGTGAAACTTTTTAATAATAATCCCTTACTGTAGAATCTGTTTTCCTAACATGTATTATCATGTACTATCATAAAACCAATGTTAAGTTTATGCAGCATTGAACATTTTTACAATAAAAATATTTTTGAGCAGACAATTTAAGTTGATTATGAGTTTTCAATAATGTAACCTAGTAAGTTGTCTTAACTTGGAGAATCAAGTTGAAACAACAGTTGACAAAGTTGTTTAAACTCAGAGAGTCAAGTTGAAACAACGAATGTTCACTAGCTAGATAACTTGTAAAACACAACATTGTGAGTTGAAACAAAGAATATTTCTAAGTTGAGTTAACTCGCGTTTATAAGGCAGCAGGTGAACTTTCGTTTCTAAGTTTAACAGACTTGAAATGTTTTACAGTGTAACAGTGCATTTAAAAAAAATAGTTGATTTGTACCCATTTTTGTTAGACCACAAATATTGTGACTCACAAAAGCAAATTGTCCTGGAAGGTCTCCCATGTTTCTCTGTGAAGATTTCTCAGCACTTTTTAAAACAAGTCTGGTTTCATTACTTAAAAAGATATACAACATATTGCCACATGACCATTGCCACATGATTTTTTGTGTTAACAGCAAACAGATTGTTTTAATGATTCATTGGTTTTTGATTCAACGTGATTAGGGTCTATGATTAGTTTTTATACTTTTACTGTAGGTGAAATAGCTTATTGAGGGCAGTACTATATTGAAAAACTAACAATTGTTATTTGTGTGTATTAAAATGCATTTTTTATATAAAATGATACACATCTTGCAGTTTCTGGAAGTGGGATGCAAACTTATGGGCACATTGTATAGGATTACGGTACTTTATGGTTCCTTAAAGGGTTTGTTCACCCAAAAATGAAAATGATGTCATTAATGACTCTCCCTCATGTCGTTCCAAGCCCGTCAGACCTCCGTTCATCTCAGAACACAGTTTAAGATATTTAAGATTTAGTCCGAGAGCTTTCTGTACCTCTATTGAAAATGTGCACGTGGTATACTGTCCTTGTCCAGAAAGGAAATAAAACATCATCAAAGTAGTCCATGTGACATCAGTGGGTTAGTTACAATGTGTTGAAGCATCGAAAATACATTTTGGTCCAAAAATTACGACTTTATTGAGCATTGTATCGTCTTGTGGTTCTGTTGTGGATCAGCGTTCAGTGACGCTGCTAATGTATATTTTTTTGTTGTTTTCAAGTGATATTGATTTATTCTTTATTATTAGGACGAGACTCCAGAGGACAGACAGACGAGAGAAGGTGAGGATCCTTGTGGCATCTGAAGATAATGTTGTGTTGGAGGAAGTGACTGTTTTGAGAGATGCTCCAGACTTGCAGTCTGCACTTGCAAACCTGTTGGGTCTTCTTTTTGCCTTGGACTTTGAATACCCAAAAGAACTGAAAGACACTTTGAGAAGGTGTTCATGGAGAGTTCGGCTCATTGCTCTGCTACGGTACAGTCCCTAAAATCTTAGAAAGTTTTTACTGTGACGGTGCATTTGTGAACTTGAGGCTGTGATAAACATTGTGCCTCTGTTTGTGCACAAACGTTAACTTGCACTTATAAATAGAAAGATGCTCATTTTGTAACATGATTGAACATTTAATGTATTTAGGATTACTTGATTGTGATAACACTTTGAATGTTAAAGGGATAGTTCACTGTGAAATTAATTTTTTGTATGTTTTAGATTACCTCAAGGGCATCCAAGATGTAGGTGTGTGTTTGTTTCTGCAGTTGTTTAATTTGGACTCTGTGCATGCTCTTTGAGGTGGTGACCATAGACTTTAGGCATTATATGACTGACAGACAAGAACGGTTTGACCTAAAAATATCACATTTTAAACTACTGCTCCACAAGTATGAGCAACTGGTCTTCTGCTGAGGCCAGAGTCTGCATTGAAGATTACCTTGATCAGATCAACACATATGACAGAAGATCCAGAACAGAAGTGTAGAAACTGCTCAGCATTTCTGACATAACGTTGCAGATGATTGAATACGATCTGATCTGAGATCTGAGAGAGATTACCTGTGATGTTTGAAGTCACTGTGACACTTTTGTGCTTCTTTGTGTCATAGAGAGACAGGAGACTTTCCTGGTCTGAGACATTCAGCAGTGCAAATGGCATGATTTTGGAGAAGCATCTATTATATATTTGGGCTCTTGAAGAATTGCTTGTTTGTATGGCAACTTTCATGGTGTTTGTTGGAGGGATGCAATGAGAGCCCATTCTTGTGAAGAGGTCGAGCAAATCCTCTTCATCACTTCATTCCTCCAGTGTGTCTTGACCAGCCTTTGCAACCGCAGATCGTTCAGTCGAAGAGAGGGAGTTGTGGAAAGATGACATCATGACATCATCACTGACTGAGTCAATGCTAAAATGAAAGCACTGAAGCGTCACTGGCAGAACACCGAGGTCAAGTCATCCTTTCACCAGATCCTTCAACTGACTCCCATTCAGAGTCAGAGAAGTCTGGTCTCAGTCTAGGACACACTCATCTTCCCCTTCACACTGTTCAAGGAACTGATCCCAGAATGCAGTGTGAACTTCTCTGGACACTCCAGCATCATCTACAACATCTCATTTACACACTTCATCTTCAGAGTAGATTGAATTATAACACAGCCAAAAGATCTTCTACAACCTTTACCCTGTGTATTAAAGCACACGATGTGGATCTGCTGAGTTTCCAGATCAAATTGTAGGAGAAAGATGGTTTCTTGAATGTGACGCAAATCTTCTGGTGCTGAAGGGATTTCCCATCTAGAAAAAGGGCAAAACCATTATTTGTAATATTCAATTATTATTTATAATATTTATATTGTAACACTTTCAAACAATTATTTCGGTTAATCTGAACATGATTTTATTTTGTGTCACTGTAAAGTGAGACATTTATATATAATTACAAAACATTACAAAGTAATCAACTTTAAAAGATTAAGAGTAATAAAAGATTGTAATGTACTTTCTGTGAACAACGGGACACTGGAGTTGATAATTGAGTAATGACTGAAGATATATTTCCCTGACACAGTCCAGTCTCCATTCTTCATAATTGCACAGAATGAAAAACTGAATTTACATTAAAACTGTTCCAGTAAAACATGCCTATATGGTTTATTCAGTAATACTTTACAATAAGATTCACTAGTTAACATTAGTTAATGTATTTACTAACATGAACTAACAATGAACAATACATTTACAGTATTTATGAATCTGTGTTAATGTTAGTTCATATAAATCCAGCTGTTCATTGTTTGTTCATGTTTTTCACAGTGCATTAACTAATGTTAACTAATACAACCTTTAAGTTTAATAGTGTATAGTACATTTTGAAATGAATATTATATTGTTAATTCTTAGTTCAAGCTAACTAACTAATGTTAACTAATGAACTTTATTATAAAGTGTTACCGTTTGTTCTTGTATATTGTGTGTATGATCTATAGAGTCTTTGTATGATTGTGTAATATGTACACACAATAAATCTAAACAAAAGTCAAATCTTATATAAATCTGCAGTTGTGTGTGTTTTGCAGTGTCAGTGCAGGTATATGAGGACTGATGATCTATAAAGGGCTTCACATGACATGAACATGTTGAGTCTCTTACCAGCGGCGCAGGATTACTGGAGAGTGGCGACGCCTCAGTTTCAGCTTCATTCAGCTCTGCGTTCTGGAGGATACACACACACACACACACACACACACAAAACATACAAGTGACACACACTGTTACAAACACATAAAGTGTCACTGTAGATCATGTAACAGTTGTCTAGTGAAGAGTGAGAAGCACAAAGCGGGACATCGTATGTATTGCGACCTTATTTTCTATTATAATGAGGATATACATTATAGTTTTAAGGTTATTTTATAACTCCCGTTTAATGCTTTTAGTCTGAATATTTCCTTTTTCCACATCTATACTGAGACATTTGGTGTATTAGGAGCACATTTACCAGTGTGATGTTCTCGTTCAGATGTCATCACGACTGCTTGGTCTTCATCTGTTTGTCCAAGTTCATCACCTTCATCATTCACTCACCTGTGTCTTCCTCATCTTCATCTCCAAGGGTTTCTAATATGTTGATGTGTAGTGGAGGAATCTGATTGAATTCCTGCCTCGTTGTTCATCACAGAGCTCATGTGAATGCTGTGGACTCTTCTGCACACTTCTCCTCGTCACTCGAGGTGTGTGTGAGTGTGTGAGACTGTGCGTGTTCTTCTGGGAACATTTGCTGATGAACGGGAGCTGTGTGAAGTGCTGGTGTCTCGACTCTCATGGTCTCTAAAGTCAAACCGCTCTGAGGAACATCCTCCATTCCTCTAGTTCTCTGAAGAACAGGCAATAACATTACATGATGAACTCAGCGATTCAGATAAATCAGTGATATTAACAGACAATCGGCTAAATTAACCACATTTACAACAATTCAGTCTCTGTATTTAAACATGTGTGATTTTACTAACCTTCCTCTTGGTGTCTCTTTTAGATAAAAGTCCGTCATCAAAAAATGTGTGATTGAATCCTGTGAATCACTGTCACATCCATGCGATAACAGTTCAGCAGCCGGTCTCTCAGTATCACTGTCTAATCAAGTGTTGAGTGTTCATTATATTCCTCTTTTCTCCATCAGATAAAGATTCTCCGTCTGTGACACACACCTCCTGTTTAGTGCAAATGTCAAATCTCAACATCTTCAGTTCGGTTTGTTCATAAAGATATCCAACAGTGATATTTAAGGGAATTTGGTTTCTTTTAAAATCACAAACAGGAAAAGTGAAGTCTGTTTTTGGACATTTTGGTGACCATTTGGGAAAAAGGTTCTTTCCCATTTCCATGATTTGTAAAAACAGTTTTCTTCTTCTTTTCATCCGTCACATGTCTAGTGTCGCCACCATTACCGCTCCTCACTTGTTGGTCTCCATTATGGCAGAAGTGAAGACATCCAATTTCAATTCTTCTGGAGGTTTTTTTTGCAGATTCATTTTTGTGTCTTTCCAAAAAAAAAATTTCTATTAGGGAAGACACATGCTTTAACATTCAACGTTTTAGCTGAATTTGATCCCAATTTTCTTGCTTAAGTTTTATTTCTCCCTGGGCCTGAATATGTGAATTTATTTATTTTATTGCATATCAGAATTCACAATTGACCTTGTAATGCATAAATCATTTAGTTAGTTCACAATTTCATAGAGAATAAAAATAAAGAAATATAAAGAAATCAGACTGATCTCATGAAGTAGCGTGTGTATGACACGCCAATTCATATTTCCATTTTTGGCGTGCTATCAAGACGCATAATCGCCTTTCAGCGTGTTTATGAACGCCGTTGACTTAACGTTATATAAATATATGACTTACCTCAACCCCGTCCCTAAACCTAACCGTCACTGAGGTTAATGGCATTTATGACTGGAGATTTGACGGCGTGTACAGACACGCGGAATGACGCGGACGTTAATGGCGTAGACATATACGCATACACGCGGATAGCTCAAAATGCGTAGAGATAACACGCCACCTGACTCGAAAGTGGTGTATATGTTTACGCAAAAGTCATGATGTCATATACATCAGCCAATAGAAATGCAAAATGTAAAAAATGAAAGAAGAGAGGCTATTACTAAATGACTGCTCATGACACTCAAATGTATGTGTTATGCAGGTAATGAGGACCCAAAAGCGATGTAACAGAAACAGAGTCTTTTAATGTTAAGCAGTTTATTAAAGTTTGAATGTATGGAAGGGTGCACACTACTTCTATTTAGTGATGGGATTTATGGCTCTTTGAGGGGATCCGGATCTTGGCGATCCGTTCCTTTCAAAGAGCCGTTCAAAAGAATGGCTCTTTTGGCTCTTTTTAAATATTTAGTATAATCACTGGGAGGAATGATGAGGTGAGATTTGTAGTCAAATAATTCAAACTCAGATATCACACATCAATATCTGAGTTTGAATTATTCTGAAATATTGATTATTACCTCATGTGTGGGCTATATTTCAAAGGGTTGCACAACATCCCTCTGCTTAGAACGTGACATCACTATTTTGGATTTACCTTTAGTACAAAGTGAGTGTATGTGTAAAGCTGTTGACTTATGTTTTTCATACAATACCACAAGAACATTTTGATAAAAAACAAAAAATATTTAAAGTTGTAAATATATACTGTAGATACAATAACATTAACATGAACACAAAATGCAATGTAAATAAATACAAGCAGTTCCTTACTTTATGGCTTTTTTAAAAAAAAAAACTGGAGTAACCATGTGATTGCGGCGTGCACAAGTTTTGGCTCCGCTCCTACCCAATGACATAGGCACGTAGGGTTATAAAAGATAATGTAAAAGATGCACGCGCGTGCACAACTATCACCCCTGCGCTGGGCGCCCCTTCCCCTGTAACTGAGGAGGTAATTGATGTGCATCTGTGTAAAACACGCATAGGAAAAAAGAACGACAGAAAGAACGGCTCCCCTCCTGCCGCGACTCGGCTCCCATCGTTCATGTTTATGAGCCGTTCAAAAGATTCGGTTCGTTCGCGAACGTCACAACTCTACTTCTATTCTCTTTACTGTTCGACTTTACCTGAGTCCTGGATTCCTCTGGTCCATGAAGTGAGCGGCCGCATTCCATGTGATGGCCAACAAAGGAAGAGGCGGGGCTTCAGCCATCTTGATCCGATGAGGAGGAGGAGGATTCCTTTTTATTATTTCATCCAGTTTAATTTCTATTTTGTTTGTTTGAAGTAGTTTTGTATTGTGCTTCAAGTAGTTGATTAAATTATGTTTGTTATGATAGTGTAACCGAGCTTTTGTATTGGGTTCGCCTAAACACTTTTAACTAATAAAATAATAAAAACGGGAGACAGAAGTTCCATGAATGATGCAAACTCTTTTTATTCTTTCTCTTAACTCTCCTTAAACACATGTGCTCCTCATCCACTTATGCGCATGCTCCTCCCCTCTTGCCTATGGCAAGTCCCAAAGGACAGAATGTGTTACACACGCATAAACAGAACATTACTGTAGCCTTAGCTTCTACACCTACTTTAATCTGTTACAATAGTGTATATTTGTAGTTAAATATTTGTTGTTAATTGGGGAAAGTTTTATTTTGATACTTACCTTTTCTTTTTGTTTGGTAGAGGCTAAAGGGTATATTTATCAGAGGGAATGTGTGTCAAAAATCTGGGAGTCAGATTTTTGCCCAGCCATAGTAACATCATGGTCTGCTGACCCTAGTGGTTTTTGTTTATTTTGTTTACCATGGGAGATTTATTTATTTATTTATTTGGCCAGTTTAATTTTTGTTTGTTTCAGTTAACTTCCATCTCAAGTCTTTGATTTGTATGGACTTAATTTTGGAAATTACTTTCATTGGATCTGCCCCTGTGTGTAATGATGTTACGTCTGACACCGACGCTCCGAAGCTTGCTTCAAACTCGAAAGGTCCTTGTAATGAACCACTGCTTCGGAGCTTGTATCATTACGTCAGTAGTCACGTGAAAATGATGTCTGAAGCAAACACACTGGTTCACTGCTTTGACAGCCCGATCCAGTGTTGACAGGTTTGAAACCTGGCGGCTGTATTTCTCATAAAAGTGAAGCCAAACCATGGCAACACCGCGGGTTAGTAGTACTCGGTGTTTGGATTGGCGTTATTATTGAGAGTGGATTGAGTTTATTTTAGTGTTGTGATGGAGCCATCGAGAAAGTCGTTCGCAAGGGAACACTTTAAACTTATTTTCCCGAATAAGATTAGTTCTTTGACATTTCTGCATACAAATATGTTTCATATCTGAATGATATGGAGAAAGACAGAAACTTTAAAAACCCTCTGCTACATTATTCAAGTTTAACCAGTTACACAAGCACATCCTTTCAACATACAAAAATATCAGTCCCGCCAGTAAAGTTACAGAGTTCTGGGCCCGGTTCCCCAAAAAGTTCTTATCTTTCAGTAGTTCTTAACCTATTCCTTAACCTCTCTCTTAACCTTATGGCACGGTTCCCGAAACGTTCGTACGCTAAGTATATCTTCCGTAAGTCACACTTTCGTAAGGTTGGTCTGGACCATTCGTAAGCTCTCTCTTAGTGTTGTTTGAGCTCAAGACGCTAGTCGCCGCCACTGTGCAGCAGTCTTTAGAAACTTTCACAGATTTTCAAAACTATTTCACCTTTTTTTCAAAACTCTACACACAACTCCCAAAACTTCACACACAAAATGCAAAATGCCTCACATCTCCTTCAAAAATGTAACTGCATTCAAAATGCCATAAACACATGTCAGAATGAAGCATTTCCATCAAGCTCTTTGGTCTTCCATACGCTTATATCAATACAATGTTCTACCTAATACTAATGTTCTACCTAATACTCTATACTAGGGGTGTGCAAAGCAGCCGCTATTTGTATTTGTATTTGTATTTGTTCAGGGAGGAAAAGTATTTGTATTTGTATTTGTATTCGAGTAAAATTCAAAATAGGCATAAAAATCTTTAAAAATACTTTATAGTGTATGGATTCTTTAATTATATCCTAATAATTATAAATAATTATGGATATGCAATATTGGTTGATGTTTTTCTATAAATCCAGCAATGAACATGTAACAAGAAAAGTAATTGAAAAGAAAATAACAGCCAGCCATTGCCTCATGAACCATGGTTAAACCAACAACTAATAAAATACAATTGTGAACATTATGAACCCCAACACCACGGTGGAGGACGCTGTGCAGACAGAATAAGTTATATGGATAATTTATAGCGAGGAGGTTGATTATGAGC